AGGGAGACCTGCTGACAAAAACAAACTAACAAAGAAAAAAAACCCCACAAAACCAAAAAACCACAACAACAGCAACAAAAAAGAACCAAAGAACTCAACGTTTTCCAGGAAAGCAGGACTGACTCATCACAGGAAGGTTCTTGTCTGTGGCTTATGTTTTCATTTTTTATTCCCTCTATTGTTATGGAATTTGCCTTCAATGTGACAAGGCTAGCCATTTGGGCAAAAACCTCCTCTTGCCTGGACTACTTTATGGTATGTTGTATAAACTGGACATGCAGGATCTACAAAAAATGACTGCTGAACTTGCATAAAGAAGGTGAGACAGTCCTTCAGGGTTCCTGCTCCATGAAAGAGTCTGCCAGGCCTTCTGCAGGACACAGAAGAAAGTGACTGACAAATTGCCAATATAGGTGAAACAGTCTTTCAAATTTCCTTTTTCACGGAAAAGTCTGCCAGATACTATGGGCCTGTAGGCTGAAGATGAATGCCCCAATGTTACAGGAGAACTCTGGGTGACTGTCCAGGCCTCTGATTCACAGGGATCCGTCTGCCCCTGCTTTCTGAAATGCTGGGATTAAAGGTGTGCACTCCCAGCAACTATATCATCTTCTAATACACAGCAGTGTTAAAGATCAACAGTATCACAAATCAGTTATCTCACACACCAGAAAACAACTGAGTTAATGTTTTTCTCATTTTTTTAAGGAAATTTTAAAATATACTGAACAGATTTTGTGCCAGGACTTTAATTCAGACCTGACAAAACATGATCTATTAAAATCTGAAAATAAAAAAGACCAGGGCTAAGATGGCAACATCACCACTGCGAGAACTTCAGCAGCCTTGGTCCCTCAGCTGTGGAAGTTTCTGAAGACACGCAGTAGATGTGGGAGAATGGACTTAAGCCCGGTCACTCTGGATTCATGACAATTTCATCAAGTAACCTCTACTCCCTGATTAAAAACCCAAAGCCTGATAAAAAGTGCCAAATCTTCAATTGTACTCCAGATTTCACTAATTTCAAACATCTTTATTACAAATCAAACAAATTATAACAATGACATAAGAAGGTAATTACATGACAGAGAATCTGTAACTGCATCTAACGGAAAATGTGTTCTGTGCTCAAGGTATTCTCCTGTGTTTAATCATAATCAATCAACACATCCTTCAAACTTCATCTCAATGATAATTCTAAAAACTTATCAATGAGCTAAGTCAAGGGTAGGCCAAGTCTAACAAAGGTGTTGTCTGGCTTTGCAGTTCAGAATATTGTGTTATATTTCAGTTGGCAAAGTCTAGAATATTTTCTGATAATTCATAGGAAAAGTTGGCCCATTCCTGAAAATAAAGTCTCTGACTAGATTTCTGTTCATACTGAAGCTAAAACCTAGAGTGGCGCGGACCAAGTTCATACATCAGCATAATTGCCAGCCTACCACAGGAAAGAAAGAAGGGGATAGTTCTGTGAAGATGTATACAATGAGTTAGTGTGGAAAGATGTGGGCTCTAGGATGGGGGAACCCAATGGAGAACACAGTGCAGATAAAACAGAGAGTCCTAAGAGGCTTCACAATGGTCAGCTCACACCAGAAGGAACTACTGAGATACTAGTAACACACAGGTGCTAAGATTTGCTGAGGTCTGCTGAAAACTCAAAACCCAGAAGAGGACAGGAGATAAAGAGCAGACTACAGCTTCCCAAATCAGCCCGGTTCTTCCCACTAAACTACACTTGCTTTTCACATCAGGACAATGCCACCTGGAAAAGGGTAAGTCAGTATAAACTTGTCACAATTAGTCCAGGGAGTTCTGAAGAAGTAAATACCCTCAGGACCTTCTCTCCTTCCCACAGCTACCAATTTTTCTGGGAAGAACTGGGCAATAAGCAGAGGCTGCTCTTTCTTTCCCGCCTACCCAGACCTGAATAATCACATAGAAACTATATTAATTACAACACTATTTGGCCAATAGATTAGCCGTATTCCTAGCTAGATCTTAAATCTTAAATTAACCTATTTCTATGAATCTGTATATCACCATGAGGGTGTGGCCTACTGGTAAGGTTCTGGGCGGGTGTCATTTTCCTTTGGCAGCTACATGGCATCTCTCAGACTCTGCTTACTCTCTCTATATCTCTTTTCAGATTTCCTGCCTGGCTTTCCTCTGCTAAGCCACTGGCCAAAACAGCTTTATTCATCAACCAATCAAAGCAATACATACACAGAAGAACATTCCACATCATCTCCCCTTTTCTGTCTAACTAAAAAGGAAGATTTTAACTTTAACATAATAAAATTACATATAATAAAACAGTTATCAAGCAAGAATTATAGTTACTTTATTTCTTTGTAAGTCTAAAGTTTTACATCTATTTTATCTTTTATCATAACTAAGGAAAACTATAACTATCTGCCTTCATCTCCACCAATGACCCCAGAATGATATAATATTACCTAAGTAAACAGGAAGTACATTGTAAGCAACTTCCAAAACTCTAGAATTGACAGAGACATCTTGATGTCTCGACAGTCACCCAAAGTTCTCCTGTAATGTTGGGACATTCATCTTCAGCCTACAGGCCCATAGTATCTGGCAGACTTTTCCGTTAAAAAGGAAATTTGAAAGACTGTTTCACTTATATTGGCAGTTTGTCAGTCACTTTCTTCTGTGTCCTGCAGAAGGCCTGGCAGACTCTTTCATGGAGCAGGAACCCTGAAGGACTGTCTCACCTTCTTTATGCAAGTTCAGCAGTCATTTTTTGTAGATCCTGCATGTCCAGTTTATACAACATACCATAAAGTAGTCCAGGCAAGAGGAGGTTTTTGCCCAAATGGCTAGCCTTGTCACATTGAAGACAAATTCCATAACAAATTTCTTCAATTCTGATCAACCTCTCTGAAGTAATTGGTGCTTCCAGGAGCAGACATGTCTCAGTGTCAAGAAAAGTCTAAGTTCTTAATATATTTTAAATATCATATTCTGTAGATCTTTGAAGTGTTGAAGATTATCTATGTAACTGAAATATATCTTTGTATATCTAGAAAACCTAACTAATGTGATTAAAAGTTTGATTATTACAGGTGACTATTCATCTGTATTTTTAAATTATACATTACATTTTTAAATGAGCTGTATAAACATAATACCTTAAATAAGAGTAGAAATACATATATACTCAGTGTAACAAAATTGACCTTAGATTTGTATCAATAGACCAAGATTTATACCAATGCAAAGTATTCATCTCTATATCATATCCCCCTTTAAGTGAAAACAAAGATTTATAAACAATCATTTTGGGATTTGGGCATAGTTTTCTCCAAACTGCTTTCTGCTGTTTGTTGGGCAAAGTATTTTTAGGGTTCACAGGGACCTTTCAGGGAAACCTTGTTCCATCAAACCACATTAGCCTGGAAGGAATCCACGGGCTCTCATCTTCTGTGGAAATAAAAACAGAATCTCTTTTCCAAAGCAACATATCCTTAGACTCAAATTTTGAAATCAAGATACCTTTATGTTCATTTAACTTAGCAGCCCCCAGAATCAAATGTCTCTCTGTCGTTAAAAATATCAAAGAAAACACAATAATATGCATAATCCAGATTCTTTGTGTGTTTTCCATCTTTATGTGGCTTATTCTTCTTTACTCCTTTAATATATAACTGTCTGTACTCTTTTATATTACTTTTACTGCCTCTTTAAAGACTTCATTTTTTTAAAACTATTTTATTTCTTTTTATAACTGTCTATATTCTTTTCCTTCTCTCTCCCAAGCCTATGTATATTTTTAAAACACACTATGGCTCGTTTAGAGGTTTATTTCTGCCTGAATCTCTTTATTATGCATCTGCAATCATTCTCTGACAAGGAACATTTTAAAATGATAAGCACTGTGATGGGGAAGCCCTGCATGCTGGCTCTGCCTCTCCTGGCCTTTCAATATGGTGGAGGTACAAGAACCACCAGCTCTGCGAGCCATGTTCACCACCCCAGCCCCAGGATGCAGCAGGTCTGTCACATTTAAGCAACTAATAGAACTCTGCTCACAAATCCCATTTAAGTGCAGGATCTCCCAAAAGAGCCTGAGTTCGTTCTGCCAGCACAAGCCAGGAGGCCTTTCCTTAAAGAAGCTGAACAGTTTTTGCAGCTCATGCTGAGTCAGGAAGCCTTCCCTTAAAGGAATTGTGTTTCTGCTCACTGCCAGCAAACAGAGTCTGACTGAAAAAATGTAGTTACTAAGAAACTGTGCTTGGCTCCTGTTTTTGTGGGTCTAGAAGCCCTCTTTTTTAAAGATTTTTTTTAGGTCTTATGTGGATCCATGCCTCAGATGGCGGGTACCATTTTGTAAACAGACTGCTCTTTCTTTCCTTCACGCCCAGACTCAAATAATCGCACAGAAACTATATTACATTATAATACTTTTTGGTCAATAGCTTAGTTGTATTCCTAGCTAACTCTAACATCTTAAATCAGCCCATTTCTATTAATCTGTATATCGCCATGAGGCTGTGGTCTACTGGTAAGTTTCCAGGGGGGCATTCTTCTCCTTCCGCACCTACAGGGCATCTCCCAGACTCCGCCTACTCTCTCTATATCTCTGTTCAGATTTCTCACCTGGCTTTACTCTGCTAAGCCATTGGCCAAAACAGCTTTATTCATCAACCAATAAAAGCAACACATACAGAAGGACATTCAACATCATATGCTGGGCTCAGAGAAGCAGGAGGAAGAAAAGACAGCCATCTCTCCTCCCCACAAAATGGTGAGAAAGTAAAAGAATAGCAATCAAACATTATTAAAATAAGCTTTAACTGTATGATGGTTCAGGCCTGTAACTTCAGGACTTAGAATGCTGAAGGAGGAAGATCAATGGTTCAAGGTCAACCTGAGCTACAAAGACCATTTCAAAAAAACCAAATTATAAAAAATGAAATTACTCTATGATAGCCAATGACGTTCTAGCAACAAGAAACATCAAATTTCAAATAATTTACCTGGTTCCAATTTTATCACTTTAATTGCTGCTAATTCTCCAGTGTTAACATTCCGTGCCTAAAAGAAGAAGAAGAATCATCATGGAACAATGTTGTACAAAAAGGCATTTTAGTTTATTGTTTATTCAATCATACAGAAATATTTTAAAAGCAGAGCTGCAGAACCAATCTACTAAAAGACAGTACTGTCTTTTATAGTGAATTCCAGCACTAATTTATGTGTAAACATTACACCATGGTAACTGTCCACTGTTCTAAATGGTTTAATACTAATTCACTCAATTGTCACAACACTCATAAGGTAAAAACTAATGCTATTCCCATGTTGCAAATAAGACAAAAGAAGCAGACAGAAGTGAACAACTTGCAACTGGTCATGCAACTGGTCAAGTGGGAGCCCTGGGATTTAAAACCAGGAAGTCTACTCCAGTGTAATTCCTTCAAGCATTATGCCACAGAGCTCTTTATGCAAACGCTGGGAAAACAATGGAGTGGATTAACATTAAAATCTTTAAATGAGAATCTAAATGTGAAAGCAGCCCCCTTGTGACCCTTCAAATCCACTTGTTGACAGTAAAAACCATGCATTCACAAATCAAATTCAAGGGGTGAGGGGTGTAGCTCAACTGGTAGAGTACTTGCTTAGCATGCCCAGAGTCCTAGGTTCCATCCCCAACTTGGTATAAATCAGGCATGACGGTACACATTTATCTATAACCACAGCACATAATGGTGGAGGCAGGAGAATCACAAGTCCAAGGTAATCCTCAGTTACTACAGAGCAAGCTGAGGTCAGCCTGGGCTATATGACATCTGTGTCTAAAAAAGAAAGGAAGGAAGGGAGAAAGAGGGGGGCCGAGGGAGAGAGAAGGAAGAAGGAAGGAGGGAGAAAAGTCAATTTATAAGTTGGCTATGATGGGCATGCTCACCAACCCGAGCACTCAGGAGGATTGTCATAAATTGTAGAACATCCTGAGCTATAGTCACAGCACAACTCTGCCGCCTTCCAACCTCAAAAAATCAACCAGATAATAGATTCTGGGTATTTACAATTGTTTAACTAAGTAGAAACTATTTTTAAATTTGGGTTTAAAAAATGGCAGTAAATTTAAAATGCTATATATAATTGGATCAGAATATATATTTTAGTTGTTTATTTAATTAATTTTTACATTAGTCTAAAGAAAAAAACCCGTAATTCCATGATTAAGGAAGATTTTATCATATGGCCAGGATTAGATCTAGTTGCACTACTCCCTTACTGGTAGACTGGGAAAAATCCGCCAATCATCTGAAGTGAGCCCATGACACTTAAGGAACTCTTCTAAGAGTGCCAAGGCAATAAAAATACCAGCAAAGGAGAGATGGCTCACCGGGTAAAACATTTGCTATGCAATGTGAGGACCAGAATGGAGTTCACTTCCCAGCACACCGGAAATCCTGGAGCAGGCTGGCTAGACAGACTAGCAGGCATGGCAAGTTCGGGATTCAGTTAGGGTCAGTGTACAAGATGGAGAGCAACTGAAGATGACCCCAGACATCAATTCTGGGTCTCTGACCACACGTGCATACATGTCCACATGCACCTGCACACCCTGTGTCCCCATACCTAAGCAGCATACACATCTCTCACACAGACCAACACATATACTCATCCCCTCCACCAACACACATAAACAAACCAGAAAAGAATCTGTGAAGGTAGATAAGAAGCACAGCCATCACTAAAAATATAAAATCCAGATCCTGCCCAATAGGGTTAAGGCGATGGCTCTTTTGGTAATGTACTTGCTGCACAAGCATAGGACCCAAATCTGAGTCCTCGGCACCCACAGAAAAGCCAACGTGGAAGCCAAGTGGAGCTGTGTGAGCCTGCAATCCCAGCATTAGATGATCTCTGTTTCAAATAAGTGGGAAAGTGATAGACAGTGATGTCAACTTTTGGCCTCAACACACAAACACACATATTTGCATGTGCACCTGCACATACATACATACATACATACAATACACGCTATTTTTTAAGAGTTACTGTGGTGGTACACACCCTTAATCTTAGTACTTCACTTGGTGGGAGGGAAAGGCAGGTGGGTCTCCATGAGTTCAAGACTTGTCTAGTCTACAAAGAGAGTTCAAGGTCAGCCAAGGCTACAAAGTGAGACTCTGCCTAAAATTTAAAAAATAAAAAACCCTATTCTTTCTGTGGTAGTTTGAATGAGACGCCTTACATCCCACACACCCCTGATGCTGTAAGTCTCAGTCATTAAATAGCAGGTCCCCAGAGGGTGGTTTGAAAAGGACTAGGAGTGACCTTCTGGAGGTGGCACCTCCCTCCTGCTGGAGGTGTGAGCTCTCGGCTGTTCCTGCCACCACGCTCTCACTCTGCCATCACAGACTCTAAACTCTGGAACTCTAAGTCCAATTAAAGACTTTCTTCTTTAAGTTGCCTTGGTCGTGGTGTTGTATCAAAGCAACAGAAAAGTAATTAATACACTCTCTATATGAATTGAAAAATTAAAACAATTTGTAGGGAAAATTCATTTAAAAATCATTTTTTCGGGGGCTTGGGAGATGGTTCAGTGGTAATGAGCACTGGATGTTTTTCCAGAGGACCGAGTTCAGTTTCTAGCACTTACATGGTGGCTTACCACCAGCTGTAACTCCTGGTTCCAGAGGATTCAATGCCCTCTTCTGGCCTCCAGTATATAATCTCCATAACTAATAAATACGATGCTCATTAGGGTCAGCAGAAACCAGATCTGAACATGTCAAGCCCAAGTTAGTTTCCCTTAAGTGAGACAGACTTCCCAACAGCACTGAATAACTGTTCCTTTCTGCAGGATGAGATATCACATAACCAACAAACTCAGAACCCCCTGAGGGCGCACCCATAGACAAGGGCAGGGTGTACCTGGGGACACACAGGCCTCTCTCCAGCTCCTGTCACAGAAGTTCTAAGACTACCACAACATGGTGCTCTCCTCCCCCTCTAACATCTTGCCTCCTTTCCTTCTATCCACATCGTCTAAACACCTGCAAGCAAAACAAGATGCTACTTTCCCATTCTTAAAACTGGGCCTCTTTAAAAGTCTCACTTGCCTACTGAAAAGGAACTCAGAGTATGGGTGCTCTATCGTGGAACCGCAGACCTTGTGGAGCAACGAGTGCGGCTTACTGACCAGAGCTGAAAATCTGCTCCCAGTGACCACAGGAGGGCACTTTACCGACAAAGTCACACAAGATGGCTGCTGTGCTCGAAGAAATTAGCTAAAACTGATTTACTCAGGGTGTTCAGTAGCAGAGAGTCAGCTGAAAAATTCTGACAGTAAACTCCTGGTGAACAGGTGACCTAAGACACTATTTACTACTCTATGACTTATTAATACATTCAGAAAATCTGCCAAAAACTTGCTAAAAAGTAACAGTTCCAAACTCAGGTTTTTTGGAGTTAATTCTTTAAGTGGATAAAACCCAGGCAGTTAAAGTGTTCCTACTCTTCTTGCTTTCTGAAATGTTTCTCAGTGTGTAGTTAATTTGGCAATACTGAGCTGTTTCACTATGTGGGGGTGGAAGTTCAAAGGAAAAGCCAGGAAACTTCTATTTCTGAGCCTCTCCCCACTGGAAACCATATTATCCATGGAGGAACTCTAAGCATTGTGATCACGTCATGCATCGTAGTGGTTGCAGGCATGTGACTCCAGGACTTGGGATGCCGAGGCAGGGGGACAGTGCACTGTCAATCTGAGCTTTGTGACCCTATCTTTAAAAAATCATTTATTTGAGTGAGTCAATATTATCTCTAATATTTATTCTTCAAATAAGCATGGTTAACACCGTATTAAAGCTTTAAGTCAGTATTAATAACAAATTTCTCACACCTCTTGAAGGGTGAAACTGAAGAGGACTGTTGTGAGCACCTAGGCCTCGTCCCTGGCTGCACCGCTGCTCAGGCCACGCTCCAAGGCGAGGCTCTTGAGGAAGGCGTGCACAGCTCTGCTCTCCACTCCGACTGCTCTCAGCAAAGGGCACACACCGCGCTCACCGCCACTCTCGATGTCCTCACACATTCAAAGTTAGGGTGCACCAGCTTTCATCACCCTACCACCACAGAACAAAACAAACCCTAGACCACGAGCTGGTCGCTCCCACTCTCTGAGTATTCTGGATAGCTCACTAAATGGAACTGAACAATACGTGGTCCCTGGTAACTGGTTTCTTTCACTCAGTATGTTTTCAGATTCACATAGGTTTTACTCCAAGTACTATTCCACCGCACAGAAATGCACTTAGGGTTTCCACTCATCAGCTGAAGGATATATGGAGTTACTGGTAGTTAGCCTTTAGTGTCAACCCGATTGAACTTAGAATTCCCAGGAGACACACTAAGGGTGTGTATGTGGGTGTTTCCAGAGTACGAAATAAGGAAGAAGACCCACTCTGATTATGGGTGGCATCATTCCAAAAGCTGAGGCCCCAGACTGAACACAAGAGGAAAGAAAAGGAAGCCGGATGAACATTCCCTGCTGTTCTGAGGTGTGGCATGAGGGGTCCCAGGTCCACGCTACCAAAGCCATGGAGTTACCTGCAGCCATGCCTTCATGTCTCATTCAACCAGGGACCAAAATAAACCTTTCCTCTCCCTTAAGTTGCTTTTTGTCAGGTGTTTTGTCAGAGTGTCAAGAAAAGTCCCTTAAACACATGGGTTGTTTCTCTACCTGTCTGTTATAAATACTGCTACTATCCTACCATATACATACCTAAAACACATGGGTTGTTTATCTGTTATAAATACGGCTACTATATACACTACCATATACATACTGAAAACACATGGGTTGTTTCTCTATCTGTTATAAATACTGCTACTATATACATTACCATATAAATTTTTGGATAAATCTGTTTCCAATTCTCTCAAATATATACCTTAAATGTACTAAGAAATTTTTCAGGTATAATAAATATTTCAGGTCTAACACTTTGGAGAGCTACCGAATTGTTTTCCAAAGCAGCTATAGTGTCTTATATTATTACTACCAACACATAACATTCCAGTTC